AACCCAGTACAACCGTGAATTCAAGTGCATAAAGCAGCAAATAGCAGAACCGCAAACCCCCAACCAGCTACAACCTCTCACATGTTTCACCCATAGGCTTATTCATAGAGGATAGTGCGATCTGTTCGTGTACTACTACATTCCAAGGGGTATACTATAGAGTTTCACTTAAAGTAGAATTAAACCTTCTTTTTTTTTACATATCTCTACTGCTACCAAGCAGTAGATATATGCAAAAACATTTAACAAAATAAAAAAAGTTACCAAATAGGTAAAAACATACCTGTGTCTCCGCCGCTCGCTCCCGTCTGAAGATCTGAAGATTCTTGAGCGGCCGTAAAGGATCATGGGGCGGGCACATGTACGTAGAGATCTTCGGTCTGGAGAAGAGGAGAGACACATGGTAAGTCAATGCAGGCAGCCCGGCAGCGTTCACACAGACAGACACAGTGGGACACAGGAGACACAGCATTCAGCGGTGGATGGGAGACCTGCACCAATGCTGGAGGGACTCCTGAAAACTACTGGAAAGAAGAAGATGATCAGATCAAAAGGCATTATTTAAGGTAAGTCCTTAAAGCAGCAGGGGGGTGTGACTTTAATGTCACTTTAAGTGATGCTTTTGAATCTGCTTGGGCTGCTAACATCCAAGATGGTGGTGCCCAGCTAAAGTCTCAAATGTACATAAAACCTTTTTGGAAGATTGTTTTTAAATGACTGGGTCTCTTGAATATTGCGACCACTGTAATCAGTATGTAGCACCACCCATTCCTACCTCCCACACTTCCCGAGGTTCAGCAAAATGACAGCTAACCTCTCTGGCCAAGGCAGAGGCTGCTATAAAACATAACCCTATACCAGCCTTTCTTAACCCTTTTACTCTGGAGGAATCCTGGAAATAATTTTCAACTCTCAGTGAACCCCTGCTAAAACCAATTCATTGAGGGTCAGCTGAAAAAATGTTCCTTACTTTGGTAGACATTGGAAAAAATATCTCCCCTTAGTAGTAGTCAGAATGCCACACACAATTACAGGCAGCTCATTGGTGATATGCAGCTGGCTCAGCCAAGTGTTGCCCCCTAAACTGTGTAGGCACCATCAGATGGAAGGTCAATGAGCCACAGCACAAGAAACCCCTAGCAACCTCTGGAGAAACTGTGTAGGTACCATAAGATGGAAGGTCAGTCAGCAACAGCTCAAGGAACCCCTAGCAACCTCTGGAGGAACTGTGTAGACACCATCAGACGGTAGGTCAATCAGTGACAGCTCAAGGAACCCCTTGCAACCTCTGGAGGAACTGTGTAGGCACCATCAGATGGAAGGTCAGTCAGTGACAGCTCAAGGAACCCCCAGCAACCTCTGGAGGAATGCTAGGTATCACAGAACCCCGACTGGGTATTGCTGCTCTACACAGTTTCAGAAAAACAGCTGTCTTTTCTGTGAAAACAAAATACTTATTACTGTTTATAAGAAGAAACAGAGGAGCTGGGCTTAACTACTTTTATATAGCATAGCTATGATCTTAAAGCAGACAAGGCTTAGACAACAATTAATGTTTGCCGTCGGAGATATGCCACTTTGTATATTGCTCTTTAAAGTAAACCTGTCACAACCTGGACAATTTCTGTGAAGCATTTGATGAAATAATAAAAAAAAAGTGCAGGAAAGGTCAGGCTTGGTCACATACCCTCCTACCTCCCTAAAAGGACCGGTACTTGGGAGGGAAGGACCACACACGTCTTTAACAGGAAATGTCAGGATTTAAAAAAGAAAAACTTCATTTCATTAATAGTTTTGCTTTATTTTTTTCTCTCATATTCTCAGTTTGAATTGTTATCGGAATAGGTTTACTATAACCGCATGACTAGGCAAAGAAGAGTTTGTGCTGGCCAGCTAGGATAAGTAACTGAGTATAATGAGTACTGTAAGACAACAATATAGAGAATTCATTTCTGAATAAATAATATTTATCTGAAATTCAGATACATAGCAGCATCGGCACATTTATTTGTAGCTTCAAAGGGCTACATAGATATATGAAATAGCATGTAACACATGGAGATAAATCACTTCAGACATTAGACAGCCTTCATAATTCTCTCTGCCCATGTGCTTTGGGGTGTGCGTGAGGTTTATTTGTGGTATGTGGCAAACATCGTGCCTGAATGACAAAAATGCTTCTTTGTCATTGTGGGTTTTATTACATAGAGACAACTGTAGCAGCTGAGCCCTGCCTTTCACTGGTGGTGTCCCCTTTTCTAATTTGTTGTGGTATTGCGGAATTGTGATACAAAAGCCACAAGAAGCAGAAAGAACAGATAATGCCGCAGTCTCATAGTCTGGAGACATAAAATGATAACCATGGAGCACATTGTAGCCAGTGGCCTAACCAGGGTTGTATAATCTAAATAAGACTGCGCAAGTTCAAAACCAGCCAGCCAAATACCTAATACAAGGATAAAGCTAGCCATACACTGATCAAATTTCAATATTGCCCAATATCTTTCAGGCTGGCACAACCCTGCTGGCACCACCCAGCTCAACTTCGACTTTTGTCAACATTTGTTGAAGAAACTGTTTGGCGTGGATGGGGAAAGCTGATAGATTTCTTTTGTTCAGCCTGCAGGCTGAAGGAAAGAGATGTTTAAATGTATGGCAAGCTTAAGGAGCTTTTTTTTTTAGTAATGTGACAGTAATTTTTACATTTCATTGACTGTCACTTTTTTTAACCTAAGGCCTCATGCACATGGCTGCATAGGGGGGGCGTACACGTAACATTTGAGCATATTCCCCCACCCGGGAAGCCGGGAGCGCTGCATACAGCCACCTATGGAGGTTACTGGCTGTATGTCAGTTATATGTGGCTACTTTTAGACAGTCTTCGTTCGGGACATATGTTTGTGCACATGTGCGAGTTAACTAAAGTAGCAGCATATACCCACTGTACAGCCATTAAAGGAGAACTATGGGGTTAGGGCTTTTCTCCATAGTTATCCTTAGGGTAACGGGAGGTCACAAACTAGCGTCCTCCCGTCACCCTAAGCTCAGTATACCGTGAGCTACAGCTCGCGGTATACTGAGACGCCGCAGCTGAAGCGGATTCCGACAATTATGTCTGGATCCACCCAGCTGTGTGAGTGACAGCTGGCTCTTCCTATCTAGAGGCAGAGCTAGCTGTAATCGCCCCCGTCCATTCCGTCAGTCAGCGCTGGAGGATCGGAGCGGGGAGGGGGGAATCCAGTCCTTCCCCTGTCACGGCAGAGAGCCGTGACAGGATCGAGAAGTGAGCGAACGCCGGTATGTGTTCGCTCACCTCCCGATCTACTGAGCCGACCTGTGACAGTCTCATTGTCACAGGTCGGCTAGAACTATGAGGTGAGTGAAAAGCGCTCACCTCATAGTTCTCCTTTAATGCCTATGGGTGCCTGTACTCAGCACCTGTTGCTTCCGAGGTGGGGAAATACACCCAAATTTTACATGTCGTCCCCACATGTGTTTGTGTGCATGAGGGCTATGGATGCTTATTCTGATATGTGTTAGCCTTTTATATTTTTTTTATTAATAGTTGTATTGTAAGCACATGACGCTTGAATAGCTTCAGCCAGGAAATGACAGCTGCCAGTGGCAAGATTCTGCAGATGGCAGCTGAATGTAAATACAGCAGGTAGTGGGCTGGTGCAATAGCCAGCCTGCTAGTGGCCATTTCACATTGCAATAGCAGGGTGGCTATTGCACCCGCCCACTGCTTGCTGTGCCCTCCTCCCAGCGTGGAGGAGAGAGCTAGGGGATCCAACCAACTAATCGATAAAAAGAATAGTTGACAACTATTCTCATTATCGATTATTATTGATTAGTTGGTTGCAGCCCTAGTGTGGGTTGTCTCAGTTAAGATACAATCTGATTCATGGTAAGCTGCTGTACATGATTTGTGTGTCCTTTCTACTCTAGCCTGTAGTGCATTAAGATATGTTTGTTGGATATCATGCCCCAGTCTGGCTCCATTTCGTATTTAACCCATAATTAGATTTGCTTTTTACCATTTAGAAAACCAGATGTGAGTTTTCTGCACACAGTGGAGACATTTTTATAAGTGGAACTAATATTCAGCCTTTCAATATATGAGGAACTAGTTGGCATCATTGTTACCTGAGGCACTGTCAATGATCTAATAGTTTTGACCCTTTACACATCTAAACTATTTTATTTATTTAAAAAAAAACCTAAAGAAACCGAGAGCAAAACTCTTATCACTTGCACGTTTTAGTGCATTGAGGCATGTCCATTTTATGAATGGGCTACCAGCACATCTCAACAAAAAAATATCTGCAGCCATTTAGGCAAAATGCAGCAATCCAACGCAGAGCTGTATCTAACTCCTTTTGCACCCGAGGCAAGAACAGAAAAATTGCCCCTCCAACAGGCGTGTGACGTAACCCAGCGCTGCACAAGCGCTGTGATGTCAAGCACCCCGCCTCCAGGATGTTTTTTTTATTTGTTATTATTTTTGGTTTATTTTTATTATTTCTTTTTTATTATTATTTTTTATTTTTATTTTTTTTACTGTTGGGGGAAAGGGAGGGGGCCTTCAGGGAGATATTAGAGGTCTAAACAACCCCCTGATATTTCCCTTTTAAAATAGAAAAAGAAATTGAGGATACTGAGAGTCATTCAGAAAATATTTACTATCATCCAGTTTCTGAATGGGGAGAAGCCTCTGTGCTGAGTGCTACTACCCATTGAGAAAGTCATGAATGAACAGGAAGTGATGTAAAGCACTTCCTGTTCATTCATAACTGGGGACACATAGCATGTGGGAGCCGCCAGCTGTCAGATCCTGGCCGAGCAGCTCTCTCTCCTCACCGCTTGGCCATGCTGCTGTGACAGAGTCTCTCTCCTCCGCCCCATGCGGCTGCATCGCTTCCTTTACTTCTCCTCGGATACCCGCTGCATGCAGATGGGGGAGAGCAGCGGGCACCCAGAGGAAAAGCTGCGTGGCTGATATGTACCGATCCTCTATGCAGAGCTATGCCGCTTCACTTCTCCCTGATGGCTGTGCCCAGCACCTGAGCCCAAGGCGAGAGCCTCAGTCACCTCGCCCTCACTACGGCCCTGATCTAACGCACGGTATGTTGCATCGCAAGCGGCTATTGTAGTGTTACTGTGTTAACATGCCCTGCAGTAATATGCATTTTACTGCATTACCGCTATGCACAAGTGTGAAGCCAGCCTAAATGTCATGTCAGCTTCAACTATGCTTTGCTTCACAACCCAGGAATTGCAATCTTGACTGAGCAGACCCAAAATCATTAATATTTTTTTTATGGAAGTGTAAGTAATGTAATGTTAGAATTCATTTTTATGAGATGGTCACTCAGGAGAGTGACATAGATGAAATGTAACAGGTAATCTTTCTGAATTGATGGCATTGTGAATGTAAAGGGTATTTTAGCTCACAAAATTTTGCTACATAAGATAAGTTAAAGTTGGGTCTGTGTCAGGCCCCGTCTCTGCTGCCAGGCACACAGTGTAATAAAGGTTTTGCAATAAAGGTGAATTGTGAACATGGCCTAGTTTGAAGGAAACCTTTTATGAGAGGAATATGTAAGCTGCCATTGCCGACCTTCTTTTGAAAATGCTGATTTCATGGTTGTCATGCTGACTCTGGTTGTAAAACTTTTTGGCTGCGAACAAGTCCATAAAATCAGATCAGTGGGCCTGATAGACTTAAATTGGAACTTGCCTACCGAAAACAAAACAAAACAAAAAAAACACATGTACATGCAGCTCTGCATGCTGAATAGGAAACACTATGCAGTCAGAAGGTAAAATAAAGTTATTTGGCAAAATATAAACACACCTCCCTTCAACTTTCTGGTTTGTCAATGCACTGGTGACATAGCCAGGACCTCCTAGCTTACCGCTTTGAAGGCTACATCACCAGTGGCTTCCAGAAAGTTTTTGTCGTCCAGCTGCGAGATCTCTCCAGATTTTGGGAAATCTCGAGTGATCTTTGGAAAAGATATGCTTTTATTCTTTCTTTTTTGCAAAGATGTTTATACATTGCCTTGGCTTCAACAATGTGAGTGTTGACTTGACTTCTGTTTTTTTTTAGGGGGTTTCTTTTAATATTAAACAGTACATTAACAATTATATATACACAGATCAGCCATAACATTATGACCTGATATTGTATAGGTCCCCCTTTTGCCACCAAAACAGCCCTGATCCGTTGAGACATGAACTCCACTAGACCTCTGAAGGTATGCTTTGGTATTTGGCACGTCAGTAGCAGATCCTTTGAGTCCTGTAAGTTGTGAGGTGGGGCCTCCATGGATCGGATTTGTTTTTCCAGCACATCCCTCTGATGCTCAATTGGATTAAGATCTGGAGAATTTGGAGGCAAAGTCAACACCTCAAACTTGTTGTTGTTTTCCCTTAAACCATTCTTGAACAATTTTTGCAGTGTAGCAGGGCGAATTATTCTACTGTTTAGAGAATGCAGTTTCCAAAAAGGGGTGTACTTGGTCAGTAACATTGTTTAAGCAGGTGGTATGTGTCAAAGTAACATACGTAATGTTACACGAATGGCAGGACCCTATGTTTCCCAGCAGAACATTGCCCAAAGCATCACACTGTCTCTGTGGGCTTTACCTTCTTCCCATAGTGCATCCTGGTGCCATGTCTTTCCCAGGAAAGCACCCGGCCATTCACCTGATGTACAAGAAAACGTGATTCAGCAGACCAGGCCACCTTCCATTGCTCCATAGTTCAGTTGTGATGCTCACGTGCTCATTGTAGGCACCATTGGTGGTGGACACGGGTCACCATGGGCACCCTGACTGGTCTATTCGGCTACGCAGGCCCATACACAACAACCTGTGATGCACTGTTTGCTCAAACTCTTTTGTCTCAGAACCAGCATTTGCAGCAATTTGAGCTTCTCAAATTGAAGCACATGGGGATCAAAGGCTGGCCTTTGCACTTCTATTGGATTGGACTACACGGGACAGCCTTCGCTCCCCATGTGCTTCAATGAGCCTTTGCCGCCTGTGACTCTTGACCCATGATTCATTTATTTTCCTTCCATGGACCACTTTTGGTATTTCCTGACCACTGCAGACTGGGAGCTGCAATTTTGCTCTGACCTAGTCGTGTAGCCGTCACAATCTGGCTCTTGTCAAATTTGCTCAAATCCTTAAGCGTGATAAAGTGCTCACTTGCTTCCCTAATATATCCCACCCACTTCCAGGTGCCATTGTAATGAGATCAATGTTATTCACTTCACCTGTCAGTGTTATGTTACCTTATTTATTATATTATATATACATTATATTGCTTATGACAAAATCCTATGCCTGGAGTTCTCTTTTCTTCCTCTTGGTGGTTTCAGATTTGTGTAGGCAATCCTCTTCTACAGCCTCCATTGCAGCATAATGGGCTAGCATAGGGAAGATTTCCATTTCACATCTGGCTCTTACTAATTAGGCAGCCGGTGTTCTCTGAAGAGGAGACACACAGATCTCTACATCTTGTCATCTCGCTCCCTGCTTATCAATCCCCAGTGTCCCTGTCCCACCTCCCCCTCCGCGCGCGCACACACACACACACACACGCTCATCTTGTTTACCCCGGTGAATGGGATTGGTGATATAAATAGAAGATGATGTAATGCTTTTTTTACCCAAGAGACAAGTTCCGTCAATGGAAGGCGCTGTGCGGATTTTAATGGAAACTGACGATACATGACAATCGAAGGAAATGCTGGGATAAACGCAGAGCACTTATATCCAGTATTTGTTCTTATTTCACCCATACATATGGCATTAAAATTATTATTTATAAATGGTTTCATATAAATTGTAGTCTTTTTTCCCCCCTTTTGATGGAGCTTAATATGTCCATTATATATGTTGGTACGCACTATGCTGATAAACATGTAATTCAACATAAAAATTTTCAACTACCACCATTTTATTCTATAGGGTCTTGGCATTCAGAAAATATATAATGTTGGGGGGTTTTACGTCATTTTCAGGCCTAAAATGTGGAATATAACATGGGTGCAAAAATTGAAAAAAGGGCCTCAGTCATGAAGGGGTTAATAAGACAATGAGCATACAGCTCATGAATTCACCTAGGGCTTATGATATCACTGAGGCACTGTGCTCCTTGTGCCTTTGCAATGTCAGTAGTTCCTAATCGATTGGTATGGTTCCGTCCATAAATCAGCTTCTTCTTTTGTCTGTTTTTGACAAATATACATCATTTAGATTCTGCACTACCCCCTCTTCATTGTATTGCAGCAGTGGTTGCTCAGGGAATTAACCCCTTCTGAAAAAGAAAACTGTTTGTATCTAAACTGACTATTATATCCCCGGTTTAATTTTAATATAGCTACAATCCATTTGGTGCTGTTGTCAAAGCTCTGGCAGGAAACTTGTGGTGACATTTGAATATTTGACCTGCATATGGCCGCTTGTCATGACTGAGTAGATCTGGACCATGAAAGGGCTTGGTGCCTATAAAACAATACCCTAGTATTATGATCAGTGTAAGCTGCCATGACATGATTAAGTGGATGGGGTGGGCACAGACACAAAGAGGGGGGGTAACAAAGGGAAATACATCATCAGTGTAAAGGGGGGGTTTATCCATGTGCCAAATCAAGAAAGTAATTATACAAGTTCAATGTGTTGGGCCAGCCACACCACATCACTTTAAAAGTGATGTACGATAATTTTTATTAAACTAATACCAATACCCCGCTTTATGCATACAAATAAATTCCTCTTGGATAAGTACTGGGTATTAGAAACAATTGGACTGATTACTGACAACGGACAGTTTTAGCGCATGGCTGGTGTACCCTGGGTTGCAGTGCATTTTTTACAAGGCAGGACACTTTTTTAAAACTTTATTGGCAGTGTACAAAATGTACACACCATTTAGGTCTCTTTACAGCAGTGTGAGGAAATATTCAGCATGTCTGCATTTTTACAAACCGCACATCACACCAGCGTTGTGGTGTGAACAGAGCACATAGAAAACAATTGTTTTCTGGTGCCCTTGCGGTGACTGGTGTTGATCCAGTGAGGAAAAACATCAATCACCATGTGAACAAGCGCTTAAAGCGGAATTTGATCCACCAATTCTATTTCTCCAAAAACAGTTACTTTTAAGGCATGCCAACTGTCAAGTTTGCCAGTGGGCTTGTTTCGACTCTCAACCAAACCTTCAAGCCCTCAAATGGCTGGTGTCATAGCTGATCACATGTGCAGCACCATGGCAACCAAAATCTAAATAGAGGCTAAGATGGCACCTTCCTTGGATGTAAAGGATAACAGGTTGTAGTTCTGCTTTAACTGCTTGCCGTCCGCTCGTTGTGAAAAAACGGATGGACGGCAAACTTTGATTTTTGATTTTCACTCACCTCATAGTTCCCCTTTAAGTGTAAAAAAAAAAAAAAAGATTTCAAAAATTAAAGTTGCAAAAAATTAAAGTCACACATTAAAAAAATAAATAAGAAAAAAAACAAAAAAAAAACCCGTACACACTTAAAAATGCTTTGGGCACGCCTATGTGCGAAAACGACGATAGGGCCATCAATCACTGTTAACATTAAACTGATGAGCGGTAAAAGCTTTTAAATAATTGCCTATGGCCAATTTTGGGTATGATAGTCTCGCAGAATCCCCTTCATCAGGCAGAACAAGTGTTCTATATATATATACTTGCTATTTATCAGGGTTGCCAGCCATTGACAGCCGAAGCACCCAACCGTATTACTTTGGAACAGCATTTTTCGAGTGCAATGGGTTCATGGACTTTACTCTATTTACCTGACGTGACTCCATCTGTTATACTCTACCAAAAAATGGGGTCATAATAAATGTTTCATAATATAATGTAGGAAAAACAGGTTTTTTTTTAAATCAAAATCCCAGTGGTGATTAAATACCACCAAAAGAAAGCTTTATGTGTCCCCAAAAAATTACATAAAATTCATTTCAGTACAGTGTTACATCACTGAATAAATGTCAAAGTATCTCAGCGCTGAATACTGAAAAATGGCCTGGTCAGGAAGGGGCTTTAACACCCCGGATTTCAAGGGGTTCATGTCCAAAATAATCAGACACTTGCGCCAATGTTCTAAGTTAAAAATTGTTCTAAAATGTGCACAATTACCACAGTGGCGTGAAGAAAGAGGGGTGGACAGCGATGATCAGCACTGCAGGAAAGAGAGGTGCATGCGTATGGACGGACAGCACAAATCTTTGTTAACCCCCCGAATGTCTCCAAGAGTGTCAGGTTTTAACTGGTTGCTATGCACCTTGCTTGTCCTATATTAATATAGGACAAGCAAGTGCAGAGATTAGTAAAAAAAAAATGTATTGTAAAATTAAACATTAGTAAAAGAAAAATGTTAAATTAAAAATGAGTAGCACAATTTGTAAAATTAAAAACCAGTAAAAAGAATTGTAAAATTAAAAATTAGTAGAAAAAATTGTAAACTTACAAATTAGTAAAAAAAATATATAAAAATAATTGTACTATTTTTTTAACGTTTCGTATTTTTTGTTATTTCACCAAATTGTAAACTTCTTGTTGCCATTATGTACTTAGCCGTTTTCTTTGTGTTGGAATAAATCAAGCTATTTTTGTAGTAAATAAAATGTTAATAAGCACTGGGGGTGCTCCATGTCTGTCTGACCATTGTATGGACAGATGCTGGTTCCCAGTCACAGATGTGAGTGTCACAGCTATTTCCTAGCCCTCTGTGTGAACCCCTCTCCATTGTCAGTCACAATTCAGTGCTTGCTTTAGCCTTCAGTTCCCCCTCATTGTTTGTCCAGCTTTGGTGTCCAGCACAAAGTAAACAGGTCAGACTGGAAATGAAATGAAGTATCAATGCTGGGTATACCCATGGGAGCAGAAGACACACAGACCATAAAACAGGGCTTGTCTGCCCACGTACACAATGTTGTTTATTGTTTACACCGCAAAAAAGGAAAATGTTATTAATTAATGATATGCATTTGAGATGAAATACATGAGCTGTGTGTAAAAATATACACAAAATGCAGAAAAAAAACCTTTTATAACATGCCACGTTTGTAAATGTTTTGGCAGGTTGTGATCTGGTAAGCCGCTCGGTGTAAGTCACATGCAATAAAAATTGTGGCTGGAAAGCAATTATTTAACATCATTTATGGAAATCTTCCAGCATGGTAAATGTCCCACAAAAACAGCCTGTACAGTTCATGGGATGTGATCTATTGTGCAGTCACTGCAGGGGAACGTGCACCACTAAGGGGCCCTTTTATAAGGGAGAGCAGATATCACTATCTACTCTGCACTATACTTGCAAGGTTAATCCAAACTTTAAGCTGCATTTTACCGCCCATTCATAAAATGAAGGCCATAGTGTGGAGCCTAAGGTATGTGAAGGAGTTCTCTCTGCTTAATGTAGAAGAGAGAACTCCTTGTTTGCAGGAGAGGCTGTTGACATGGTTTTAACAGGTCACAAGGCCCATGGCTTTAACAGGTCACAAGGCCGGCTCTCCTCCTGGATTCTTTTTCTAACTCAATTCATTTCATGTGCTTCGCACTCTGCTGGCTTCTGAGTACCTCTGTGCTTGTTAACTGTTTGATACTATTTGCTTTCCAAAGCAGTGGTATGGTTACGGTAAAGCCATACATACCTCAGCTTTATAAATGGAGCTCTTATGACCTGATTTACTAACATTTGACGTAAGGTAATGCAAACCTGTGTTAATTTGCTACGGCCAGTCATGTGATTGGATGTTTGAAATGAACATAAGTTTACTTCACCTCACATTACACTTAATGAAACAGATCCAGGATCATTTTACCTCATGCTCTACTTTAGTACATCAAAACTGAGATCACTTCCCATCCCATCCTTTCCCTTCACTTCAGTTCACACCTGACATGAGCATGTTTGGGCCTTTTTCAGACTTTTTTTGAGTGATTGTACAGGCATTTTTGCGAACATTTCGGGCTTGAGCTTTTTTAAGGCAATGAAACGCTAGTTACTAGGCAAAATTGAAGTCTATTGGGGCCACAATGCTTGACTCTGCCCCAAAAGAAGCTCATGTACTGTTTTAAGCTACAAGTGTTTTGCTACAGGGAATAGAATGCTAGGGGGAAAATGAAAACAATGGGATTCCTCCTCGTGAGCATTTTAGTGCTTAGGCATTCGACCTATAGGACAGGTTTGAATGAGGTCAGGTCCAGGATCCATTCGCGTCGCCTCATATCACACCAGTAAAGGTCCATTATCACCTCACCTTACACTTTATGATCAGCTCGCATCACCACACTTTACACATTAGGATCACCTCACCACACCTTGCACTTTAGGATCACCTCACCTCACTTCACCTTACACATTAGGATCACCTCACCTCACTTTACACTTTAGAATCACCTCACCTCACTTTACAATTTAGGATCACCTCACTTTACACTTTAGGATCACCTCACCTCTCTTTACACTTTAGGATAGCTTCACCTCTCTTTACACTTTAGGATCACCTCACTTTACAATTTAGGATCACATCACTTTACCTTACCTCACTTTACAGTTTAGGATAACCCCACCTCACCTCACCTCACTTTACACTTTAGGATCACCTCACCTAACACTTTAGGATCACCTCACTTTACACTTTAGAATCACAATACATTACCTCATCTCACTTTACACTTCCAGGCCATATTTGTTAATTTCTGTTATAAAGAAAGATGTAAGACTCTTATGTAAAGTGGTACCTATTATAAATGACATGAGAAGTGTTTCTGTTTCCTCAAGTTACTCTTGATGAAAGAGTGCAGAAAATGTATCCCTTCACTTTGACCCAATGTTCACAGTAGCATCAATGGATGAGAGGTGGATTGGTTGGGCACCATATGAGCTCTTGCGGTTATATAAAGTATGAAACGCTTTCAACTGTAAAGCGACCCTTTATCTGGGCTGACCTTATGTCATTTTTTGTGTGTCTTGGATATTTTTACCCACAAAGATTTTCTCATCCCCATACAGTTCATTCCACAGAGTAGCTCTGAGGACAAGAATTATTTCAGTCGATGTTTAAACTCCTGGCCTTGGCAGTCCCTGGGGCCTTGTCATAAAGTGAAATGAATGCGGCTAATATTTCATTTAATTTTCTTTTGAAGTATCTTTGTTTTCTCCTATTTAGAAAAAAATAAAAGCTTTCCATTATCTACACTATATCATTACTAGGGATGCACTGATACTGATATCGTTATCAGTGCTGATGCCGAGTATTTGGACGAGTACTCCATGCTCCAAAGCTTAGCCGATACTTAAGCTTCCGGTATCAGGAAGCCGGGCAGCGAGTCATTACACGCTGCCCGGCTCCCCGGGCCAATCACGAAGCTGGGCAGCGTGTCATTACACGCCCCCCGGCTTTCTGATTGGCCAGAATTCCGGTTTCATGCCCCCTCATGACGAGGGAGCATGGAGTCGGCTTCCCGGCCAATCAGGAAGACAGGCGCCGTGTAATGACGCGTTGCCCGGCTTTCCTGATTGGCCAGCTTCTTAACCAGTCAGGAAGCCGGGCAATGCGTCATTACAGGGCAACCGACTTCCTGATTGGCCGGCTCCATGCTCCCTTGTCACCTGGTGCGAGGGGGCATGGAAGCGGCTTCCCTGCTAATTGGGAAGCTGGGTGGCGAGTCTTTACATGCCACCCCGCTTCCCGGCTAATCAGGAAGCCAGGTGGCGAGTCATTACATGCCGCCTGGATTTCTTAATGGGACTTCCGGTATTGGTATTTGGTATCGGCAGATACTGAGAAAAAAAATATCGGTACTCGATACCGCAAGAACAGCAAAGTCAATATTTCACAGTCAGTATTCCCTGTAAAGAAGATTGAAAGAAGATGTATCTTTCAGCGCATTTGACCAAAGATCTGCCTGGGGTGTCCTGCTTGCAATGTTAGAATAAGCCTGTCATGTACTGCCATGTACCTTGATGGAGACCGAATGGAGGAGGAGGCGCCTTTTGTGTCTCTTGTCCAACACCCCAGGGAATGTGTGGGCACAGAGTAGCACTGGTACTGGTAATGCCGGGTAGAATCAAGCAGGAACAGCACACAGGAGCAAGGTCGGGGTCACACACCGAGGTCAAGCCAGCTGGGCGATGCGGTACCAAATCAGGAACAGTGTCGGGGTCACAAGCTGAAGTCAGAAGCCAGAGATTAGACCAGGTACAAGGCAGGAGACAAGAAGCAAATCCGTAAAACAGGCCGAGGTCACAGGAGGCAGGCAGCGAGCAAGAGCAAGAAGAGGAGTCAGTAGCAAGCTTGGGTCAGGAACAGAAAACAAGCAGGACTTCAGAGCACAGGGAACAGGACTAGCTGAAGATCAATCAGCAATGAGGGAGCCACACATGCCAGTTTATATATGCTCATCCTATGTCACTTCCTGTGCGATGTCAACACGCACACACGCATTCCAAGCACCTTCTGTTGAGCATGCACGTGCATTTCCCTGTGTCCCTTTGGCTGGCTTCACACCTGGGCGTTACTATAGGCGCGTTTTCAGATCACGTTTTTTAGTTCACTGAAACGCGTGTTCGACGCTCGTTTTTATACCTCCCTGGCGTTATGATTTTTTGTTCTCCTTTTTTTTCTCTATCCTTTTTTGGGCTTTTTTTTTTACTTTCAAACTTCCCGCCGGTTCCGCCCCCCCCTGCAACGCGGACGCTCGCAAGGGACGGAACCCGGAAGACGGCAGCGGCTGGAGGACACAGCGGGGATCGCGGAAAAGGTAAGACCTACGGTGCATTCCCGAGTGTGGCTCGGGGTTACCGCTTTGTTAACCCCGAGCCACACTCGGGAATACCAATGGATATGCGCTGCAATCGGCCCCTGTGCGCGAAAAAGAAGCTCAAGTACTTTTCCGTGCGTAGGGCGTTTTTCAGTGCAACAAATCGCACTGAAATACTCCCAAGTGGGAACCATGCCCATAGGGATTGATTGGATTTCACTTCTTGAGCGTTTTTCATCGATTCGATCAGCGCTGAAAAACGCCCAGGTGTGAACCCAGCCTAAACACAGGTTTCTGAGCATGCGTGGGAACTTTAATGCGCACAGGATTTCTCTTACAAAGCACTTGTTGCCAATTCTCATTTGAAACATTGTCTGCCCTCATCAACTTCCTGAAGACGCAAGTATCGCATACATGAGCAACACAGTTGTAAAATGACACACTTAAAGGAGAACTATGAGGTGAGTGCTTTTCACTCACCTCATAGTTCTAGCCGACCTGTGACAATGAGACTGTCACAGGTCGGCTCAGTAGATCGGGAGGTGAGCGAACACATAATTGTCGGGATCCGCTTCAGCTGCGGCGTCTCAGTATACCGTGAGCAGTAGCTCGCTGTATACTGCGGCGTCTCAGTATACCGCAAGCTGTAGCTCGCGGTATACTGAGCTTAGGGTCACGGGAGGACGCTAGTTTGTGTCCTCCCGTTACCCCAAGGAGAACTTTGGGGAACAGCCTTAACCCCATAGTTCTCCTTTAATTCCTGATTGAGTAATGCAGCTTTCTGTGTCACCTCTGTGCCAGTTGCTTATTGGATAAGTGACCTTCCTGACTGTGCAGTGTGGCAGATGTGTATAAATCACTGACCAAACAAATCCCTTGGAAATTAAAACAGTAAACACATGCGTTTCAACTATGTATTTAGATGTCATTTTTTTAGTTCCACTTAATGTTGGTAAACTAATGTTTGACCATGATTTTCCAATTTCTAATTTGTTCGTTTGAATGTTTACCCAATATAATCAATACACTTAACCACAATTGTTTGTCCATGTCCATGCTGTCATTTGTATATTAGTTCTTCATCAATTGATGATTTTTTCCCTGGATATTTTGTCTGACGAGTTCTGTGGCTTTCTATAATTACTGTCTGCATGACAAAATCCCTCTTTTTCTATATGTTAAATTCCTTTTCTATAATCGTTTAAAGCTGTTCTGAGATTTTAAGTTAATATTTGTAAAGGAACAATAAATAATGTTAATTATTTTTACTGCAGCTTTGTAAGCGTGTTATAATGGCTCTGTATTCCCCCTTGGCCCTGCAGTACTATATTCTGCATAATGTACTTCATTACACCAGCTCAGCATCAAAGTTTCCTTGGAAGCAGTTAAATGTTGGCACTGTGTAGTTAGTGTTCACCTGTTTTTTTTATTATGGCACCCCCTCTCAGATCCCCGCATTTGCCCCAGCATGTATGGGAGATGGCATTTTGCAGTGTTGCTTTAGTAGCATTGATTTTATGTGAATCCTGAGAAAATGTTGCTGCGACCGCTATAGGATGCCATGACTATGCAGGCTATAACTCTAGAAATGTGCATTTTTAATGATAAAGTTAAGTTACAGCATGTCAGACCATGACGAGCTGTTCATATTAAACTTCAGGGTTGACCGTAGGAAAAATTGTGTTGCCCCTAAAACCCAATCAGTTTCTCCATTTATATTTCTGGGGCAAATTAGGAAATAAAAGGGAGAAGATGGTTTGTTTCTAGGGCAATGCATTTCTTAGCCCTGGCACTCGGAACATTGAGAGCTCATTTGTACTTTATTTCTAAGGCTGGAACATGTGGACCCTGGATACATATACATTTAAAAAAACTGAGCTGCAGTCTCCATTTGTCTGTAGTCATATTTATTTCTAGCAGTCTATGTGTTATTGTAACCCTGGCACTGAAGTCAGTGTGGAATCATGTGTCAGTTCTAGGCAATTTACAAAATGCTGAGTGTAGACTTTTCCTGGCTTGGGGGGCGCGAGCGTATTCTCTGTGTCACTGTAAAAAAAATAACCAAAGCTTCAGATATTCAGTCACTGTAGTCACCGTTTAGTGCATGGTAAGTTGACTCTTGTATAGAAACATTCAAAGGGGAAGTTACTTAATTGCCAATAGCAACTACATTTTCAGCTTTGGTACAGGCCTTAAAAAAAAGGATGAATCTGATTGGTTGCTGAGGGCAGTTTTTGTGCTTTGGACAGTATGTGGAACAGAGCATCAAAATAGAAAAACATTCTACCCAGCGCCCATAACCTATAAACTTATGTAGTATGTTTGCCATGTAATGTAATACTACTGGCTGGTCAACTGCTATGTGTAAAATAAACTTGCCTGCCCCCCTCCCATAAAAAATCCACCTAATATTGGGTAGTGTTATGATCAGGGGTTGCTTCAGTTGGTCAGGTCTAGGTTCAGCAGCGTTATGTCCC